CCCCCCCCCCCCCCCCCCCACACACACACACGTATATATATACACACAAGCGTACGTACACTCACACACATGCATACATATCATATTTTTATCTGTAACATTTTGTCTATTCGACATAATTTGTTGAGTTGACCCTTTCTTTTATTCGACATATTGAATAAACCCTTTCTTTGTCTATTTAAATATATTGCTGCAATGCCCTTCAGCAAACTGTGAGAAACAATCGTCCAGTTCCAATAACATGCAAAGAAAGGGTAAGCTAACTTTTGCTTTCTTAAGTAAACGAGGCGAAATGGTTTCTTTTTTTTATGTATGGTACAATACACATTTCATTACGCTAGTCTATGAACGAAATGTTCACAAATAGTTCGTGTTTGATTTAAACGCCAGGTCTGCCCTGCGGTATTGGAGCATGAGGAAACGTTTTGATATAAAGCGTGAACTTCTTATTCACTGCAGTGGTAAAAGGAGTGGTTGTCGGTATAATATATCCTTATAGGCAAAGATAGATCGTTTTTTGCATTGAAAAAAAAAATCTTTAGGTTGCGTCCCGTGCGAGGATCACATAACCGCTTTCACAAGCGTGCCTTCAAAAGAATGGGACTTTTAGGGAAATCGAACGGGCGCTTGCGGTATAATCATCGACGAATAGATCGGTGAATCTGTATGCACGACGATAAAACATATATTGTGAGAAACTCGAAACGGCTCATGGAAAGGAAACGACATGAGAAGAAAAAGATTAATTCATTTCGATGTGCACATAAACGCCTACAGATCGCAGGGAGGGAAGAGGAGAGGAGCGTAGGGAGGGAAGGGGCGGAGTGGAGGGGTGGGAAACCGTTAGGCGAAAATGCACCAATAAACTTAAAGGCCGCTTGTCTTCTTTGAAATATGGTGAATATTTTCCAAATTGTTCTATAGATAGATAAAATAGATAGATAGATAGATAGATAGATAGATAGATAGATAGATAGATAGATAGATACATAATATATTATATACAGACAGACGGATAGAGAGATAGGAAAATGAGTGAACGACAAATGCAAACATTTTCAACTGAATCTATAAATAGGTAAATATAAAACGATATGGTAATAACAAATGAAGGCATAATCGTGTCAATATAATTATATATAGGAATTTTGTTATATATTTTGTTTTATACTATTTACAATATCATTTTTTCTACGTGGAAATAGTTATCTGAATGTTTAGTTCTCGTCTGTTTAAAACAATAACTTTGACAAGCAACAGAGAATGCCTTTTAATGTTTTAAAACAAATTTCCTGCTCAGAGTCTCGGAATACACTCTTCAATCGTCAACGAACTGCTTTGATCTTATCAAGTATCACACAATGCGATTTTGGTATTCCTAAAAACTGGATTGATTCATTCCCTTACATTGTACCACACCCAACCCAACCCCACCCCCACCACCTTTTTTTTTCTCTAAGGCGCTGCTTCCCCCATCAAAGTCCTTTTTTAAAAACAAAATTACTTCCTCCTTCTCCTTAGCGTTTTGATAACGTTAAAATCAAACAGGTCTGACTGAGTCTGAGGAAAAATTATATGAATCGTATAGACAAAAGCAAATATTTGAAATGCGTTTTGAAAGAATAAAAATTTCCTCTAACTTGTATATTTTAAAACCTCACTAATTCAGTTAAATCACATTGGTATAAACCCAGCTGAAAAGAGGTCTTGTGAAATCATTTCTGTACTTCAACGAACCTAGAAATAATGGTAGTGAAGGAATGAATCATATATATATACGAACATACCTTCGATCAGTGGCCTGGCTAGTCCGGCACTGTTGTCAAGTCCACAGAGAACCGGTGAGTGTCCCCCGTGGTCGGTATTGTCATATCGCACAGCAAATCGGTAGCCAAAGCATAAAACGGCGAAGTCACCGAGCCTGTGAATGAGGGAGATCAAGCTGTGTATAGCCCCTTATCTCCAGGGAAAGCTTCCGCGGCTTTGCGGGTCCCCGTCTCGGTTCTTGTTGTCTTGAGGTTACAAGCGACTAGTTGGAGAGAGACAGGTAAAGAGAAAGAGAGAGAGAGAGATAGAAAGAGAAAGTGCGTGTGTGTGTGTGTGTGTGTGTGTGAGAGAGAG